TAGTCACTGCTCATCACCAGCTTACTATGCAACCTTGCACAGGTCCCTTTACCTCTCTGGGCCTCAGTCTCTTCCCCTGAAAACCAAGGAATCAGACCTGTTAATCTTAGGGCTTCTTCAACTCCAGCATTCTGGGCCATTGAGAATTGCTCATACTTGCTCTTGCCTTTGGTCCCAACACTTGGAAAGCATTGCAAAGTAGAAAGGTGAATAAAGATCCCATGTTTGAGGTTATAAGGAGTATTAATTAAACCCTCATTAACATTTGAAACTGAAAATAGTTTTTAAGACTGATGGGATATTTGTAATCCATGGCAGTTCTCTCGCTTCCTTGCTATTTATAACAAACTCTGGTTTCCTCTGTGGCTGAGTCTGTCTCCTCCTATAACAGAGGAAGTCAGGCTAAGCCTGTATCTAAGTTAAGGTCTCCTGAGTCTGCACTCCAGTAGACCCCCTTTGGGGTTCTGAGCTCCTGCTGGTGGGCAGAACAGGGCTCTGTCTCCAGGTGGTCATTGGAGGGTGTAGCTAATGCCTGTTCTCTCAGGGAACCATGCACAGCTGCTGGAGTGGGGCTGAGAGCACTGGATGCCCAGAACTCTGTGCCTTCCACTCCAGAACTTTCCGTCAATGCTCAGAAAGCTTTTGTAAATGCTAATGCCTAGTGCTAACCCTAAGGCAGATAAAAGGAACAGGGTTCAAGTTCTGGCCACTTTTGGAGATATTTATAGGACCTACCAACAAAAAAAAAAAACCAAACCCATTGCCATCAAGTTGATTCCAACTCATAGCAACCCTATAGGACAGAGCAGAACTACCCCACAGGGTTTCCAAGGAGTGGCTGGTGGATTCAAACTGCCGCTCTTTTGGTTAGCAGCCGTAGCTCTTAACCACTACGCCACCAGGGCCTACAGGTGTCTTTAAAAGGTCCCTGTTATTATTAGGTGCCATCAAGTCGACTTCAACTCATAGCGACCCTAGGGGACGTAGTAGAACTATCCCATAGGGTTTTCTTGGCTGTAATCTTTAAAGAAGCAGATTGCCAGATCTTTCTACTGAAGAGCCGCTAGGTGGGTTCGAACAGCCAACCTTTCTGTTAGCAGCCGAGCGTTTAACCACTAACCCTCACAAGGCTCCTTTAAAAGGTCCCTTGTTGTTGTTGCTAGGTGCCCTCAGGTTGATTTTGACTCAGCAACCCCATGTGACAGAGTAGAACTGCCCATAGGGTTTCCTAGACTGTAATCTTTATGGGAAGGAGCTCTGGTGATGCAGTGGTTAAGTGCTCCACTGCTAACTGAAAAGTCCGTGGTTTGAACCCGCCAGCTGCTCCACAAGAGAAAGATGTGGCAGTCTGCTTCCATAAAGATTACAGCCTTGGAAACCCTATGGGGCCGTTCTACTCTGCCTTGTAGGGTCCCTATGAGTCAGAATTGCTTTGGTGGCAAAGGATTTTTTTTTACGGGTTAATCTTTATGGGAGCAGATCGCCTGGTCTTTTCTCCTGTGGAGCCACTGGGTGGGTTCAAAACCACCAGCCTTTTGCTTAGCAGCTGAACGCTTAGCTGTTGTGCCAGCAGGGCTCCTTAAAAGTCCCTCCGTAGGCGCAAACAGTGAAGTGCTTAACCACTAACCAAAAGGTTGGCAGTTCGAATCCATCCAGAGGTGCCTCAAAAAACAGGCCTGGCAATCTGCTTCCGACACATCACAACCTTGAAAACCCTATGGAGTAGTTCTAATCTGCACACATGGGGTTGCCATGAGTTGGAATCGACTCCATAGGCAGCTAACAACCACAGGTGTCTTTTAGGTGTTTTGTTACTATAGGGTTGCTGTTGAGAGCTGGGCTAGTCCTGAGCAATACGGGCCAGATGGCTGCCCGACGTTGCTGCTGGAGTATTTTAACTACAGTAGCGTGGGAGCTTCCTGCCTTGGAGAGAGCCCCTACACCTCCCCCAGGTTTCCATCTGCCCAGAGGCCCACAGCTCCTGTCAGGAGAAATGACAGAGGCCCCAAGATGCCTGGGGGAAGGGCTTCATCTCAGGACAAGAGCCGGGTCTCACACTGCTGTCCAATTAGGGGGCTCAGGGCCAACCCACCTGGGAGTGACTGAGTGTGTGAGTGTGTGTGTGTGTGTGTGTGTGTGTGTGTGTAAGTCTGTTTCTGTCAGGCCATGAGGAAAGGTCTGGGGGTAGAGGAGAGACATGCAGATTAGGCAGCTGATCCTGAGAAATTTCAGGGGCTGGGAAGGAGAGAGAGAAAGAGGAGGAGCAGCTGGGAGGAGGTAGAGAGGGCAGGAGAGAGGAGAGTGGGAACAAACTAAAGAGGAAGCAGTGGTTATGTTGAAGCTAGACAGAGACCTGAAGTGGGTAGGGATTGTCCTAGGCTTCCTCAGACTGTCTTACCTAAATCTCCCCAAGCTGTGGTTTAAGCCTCTTTCCCACCACCTGGATCCCCATCTGACCTCTGTTCCTGGTTATCTCCTCCCTCTGCCCTCTGCGCGGCCACATCCAGGCATCAGGGTCTGGACACCGGTCTGCCCTGCTGCTCCTGGGTAGCCTAGGGAGGAGATGCTGAGGTGCCCGGGGTAGCTGAAGTTCTGAGGCCCTGACCTCTAGGAGACCTAAATTTGGAGCCCTTGTACCTCCCTGCTCCCCCTGGCTCACCAGGAGGGATGCAGAGGAGGCGGCATTGCCTCTGGCTGCATTTCCTAGCAGTGTGGCTGTGAGTCAAAAGGGTTACCTACTTACTGTCAGAAGTCAGAGAGGACCTCCTGCAGGCAGGAAACCAAGTCCAGCCCCAGAGAAGCCCAGAGAAGGTGGGAGGGAAAAGAGCTTGCAAGGGACAGCATGATCATCATGGAGGGCTGAACCTGGAGTTCATTCTGCCTAGAGGAAAACCTGGGCCAGCCCTGCTCCCTTCTCTGGGCAGCTGCTTGGAGGTGATATGGGGAGTCGGGAATCAGACATATGAGTTCAAATCCTGTGTTTGTTGTTTCTATGCTGGGTGAGACCTGGTTTCCCCATCTGCAAAATTAAAAAATAATAACAAAGCCTAGCTTACAAGGTTATGAAGATAAAATGAGAATATGCATATAAACCAAAAAGAAACCCAAACCCGTTGCCATGGAGTCGATTCTGACTCATAGTGGCTCTATATAAGTACCTTGTTTGTAGTGGGTGCTCCATAAATTGTAGTCTCCTCCCCAACTCTGATTTTGGTTGGAAGGTGGTGAGTGTACATCCAGGATCTGAATCCTCAACATTGTGCTGGCGCCCTGCTCCAGAGGGGTGACCCACTGGGCCCGGGGTGGGGGTGGGTTCCTCTGGGCTCACATGTTAGGATACGGTGCAGGATCCCACCAGGACCTTACACACACGTGCGCGTTCGTGTGCCCCCCCCCCCCACACACCTCCTTGCCCTGAGGGCACTGCTGTCAGGTGCTCCTTCTGTTTGGTATCAGGATGGGGCTATAGGGGAGGAGTGTTGATTTGCCCTTGAAATTATCTTTGGTTTGGGTCTGACGTGAAGAGGGATCTAGGCTAGGGGACCTAGCAGTTATCCATGGGGGTCAGGGCAAAGGGAAAGAGAAGGAGGACACCAACAGATGCATCCTCAGACCCTAACCCACACCCTTGCAAAATCTCTGACTCAGTTTCATCATCTGAGGGTGATGCAAGAGGCTTAGAGTCAGACTCCCCTTCCTCCCTTCCCCCAGAGCTCTGTCCACATCTGGAGCTACAGCTGGGTCCTCCTCTTGGGCCCTTTCCAGGCGAGAGAGCTGGGTGAAATGAGGGAAGGGAGGGCAGCTGGTGAAGGGCCCTGTGAATGGCCCCAATGTTGGGCTTTGGGAGGCAGGGAGGAGGAGTCGGGGCTCTGGGTGGGGCGGTGGCTTGGATAGGGAATTGTGAATTTCCGCAGCACTGGGCTCCTCCGCACTGCCGTGTGTTTAAAAGTCCCCCCTTGTCCTTTATATCCCATTCCTGCAGGCAGCTGCACTCCTCCTCGTTCTCACCCACTTCACCGCCCAGCCTCTACCCAGGTGCCGGGAGCTGAGTGCCCCTTTTGTTCCCTCCCCTCTGGGGGCAGCTCAGGCCTCCCACACTGACCCTCTGCCCCCCACCGCCACAACGAGCAGAGTGTGAGCCAGGCCAGTGGGATCATGTGTGGGTCATAAAGGTCAATGGGGACCATGGTCCAGCAGAAGGGAGGGGCCAGTCGGGCGAGGAGTGGGAGAAAGGGTCCAACGTGGGCAAACTAGTCTGACCAGAAATCAACCAAGAGATGAGCTTTAAAATGCTGCAGGAGGGAAGTGATGGTGGGGGGAACATTTTAGTTACACACTAGCAAGAACTCCCCTTCAATAAATGGTGGCGAACTCACTGGAATAAATGCAGGAGGGAAGCTTTCAAGGCGTTTTTAAAATATAACCCGCTAATCGCTGTGGGATGCTTTGAAGTGTAGCGCTCCGTAGCGGAGACCTCGGTTCCTACCCATGGTTAGCCACCAACATGCTGCGTGACCTTGGGTAGTTCCCCTTCATACACTTTTCTTCATTTATGAAACGAGGGTCCCATCGAGGCTGAGATCCTGCCACTCCAGGCACGAGGCTCCCGTGCAGTCAGCTTCTACGCCCGCGACCCTCGCACCCACCCCCCCAATCCTCCAACCCCGCCCGCTCCCCAGCAACCGGATGGACTTGAGCCAAGAGGTCCCTTTAAAGGCTCAAGGCCCGCCCCTGTTGCTCGTTGAGGCCTTCGATTGGTCGTTATGGGACGGGGCGGGCCCAGCGCGGATTCGGAGGCGGAGCCTGGGCCGGGCCGGCCCCCGCCCCCTTTGTTCGCGCTGCGGCGGGAGGTGGCGGCGAGGGTGGGAGGTGTGTGCGCGCGTGTGCCGCGCCGTGGGGAGCGGCGGGGCGCGCCGCCGGCTGTCAGCTAGGTCCGCGCCGCCGCCCAATGGCTCCAGAAGACGCGCGGGCACAGCCCCAGGGGGCTGCCCCCGGCCGCTGGTGAGCCCCTCCGCCGCCCGCGAGCATGTCACCTCCAGCCGCCGCGGTAGCTTCTGCCAGCAGTGCCCGCGTCCCCGCCTCCCGCAGCCGCAGCCGCTGCTTCGGGCATTGGCCCCCGGACCCCCACCCCTGATCCACGCCCGGACCCCCGCGCCAGAGGACCATGGCAGGCCAGGGGGACTGCTGCGTCAAGGTGGCCGTCAGGTAGGGACCTGGGGCGGGGGGGAGCGCGTGGAGGGGGCTTGGGCTTTGTCTCGCGTGGGCGCGGGGCCCGGGGCGCGGGCGCCGTTCGATCCGGTGCCTGTACTCCCAGAGGAGGGGCCGGCGTGGACGGCTGGAGGGCGCCGCGCGCTGGCCGGGCTGCCGTAGGGGAACGGCGGCCCCGTGGGCTGCTGGAAGGTGGCTTTGTTTGGGTGGTAATTTCAGCGCCCCTCCTGGGAGCCCTTAATGATCAGAAAATCGAATAAACAAGGAAATCCGGTATTTCACACCCAGCCCTGGCGCAGGCCGGAGCGTCTGTGTGTTTCCTCTTCGCCTCCCTACGGGCTGCTGTCTCATATGGGGATATTGGAGGGGAAAAAAATTTCCCCTCGTCCACCCCAATCAGCGGGTTCTGTGCTCTTGGTCCCGCTAGAGAAGGCAGCGCACCTCTCCCGGGGAGCCGGTTCCGCAGACAAAGATCGGGTGCGCGGATGAATGGAAGGGCTGGGATGGTCCCGTGGCCTTCAGTAGGGAGTGAATAGCTTTTGGAGAGAATCCTGCTGGCCTTGTCCCAAGAGGGGATGAGGCTAGGGAAGGAGGAAAAGATGTATCTGAGGTTTTGCCTTTGAGAGGAGAAGAGGGTGTGATGCTGACGCCCTATCCAAAGGCACTCGGGTAAAATCCTGCGGAGGAGGGCTGCGTAGACTTATTGAGGGTTCCATTCTCAACAGCTCTGGGACTTGAGGTGATTTCCTGACAGAATTGAAGTGGGAAAGGACATAGCTGGGGGTCTGTTGGGAGGGGTATGCAGAGGTGCAGGGGCAGGAAATGCTGCAAAGTTGAACCATTGGTGTCCTCTGTGCTGGGTGGAGACCATTTGTACCACACCACCTCTGCCTGTTTTTGTTTTGGGGTTTTCTCTTTGAGAGGGGTGTGTTGGTGGGAGAGTTCCAATCTGGGACTGACCACCAAGGAAGGGATAATGGAGAGGAACATCCATCTCTGCCCCAAACCTGTGTGATGGGGGTGGGAGGCCCAGGTCTCAGACAGGTCTCTGATCAGACCTCTAGATCCCCTGGGTCGTAGGTGACCCAGATTCCAGGGGTCCTGGGAAGTCCCTTCCAGACAGAGTCAGAGATGATGGTGAAAAAGCCTCCCCCCCGCCCCCATCCCAGGGCAGATTCCTCAGCCACCTGGCCAGCCCTCTGCAGCTTGGAGAAGGAGGAGCTGACTGCTAATCAGGGCTGAGGCCGAGGGAGGGAGATGGAGGCGCCCCCACCCATGCATGCCAGGTCACACTCAGAGCATCACTTGAGCACAGGCTTCCTGCCCGCAACAGCCAGAGAGACAAAGAGGAGCCCTGCAGGTGCCTGGTGGGCTGGCTGGGGCGGGGCCAGCGGCTGCTGGGGCTGACTGTGCAGCAGGATCCTTTGGAGGTCGAGGGAGGGACATCCATGGGTGAGGGGGTGGGAGTGAGAAATGTAACCATGGTATCTGCAGCAGTCTGGGAGAGTCCATGAGCATCATAAAAGGGACATGAGGCCCTGGCCCCCACCCAATGTGAGCCAGGGGGCCAGCGAGGAAGGAGCTTGGGGTGCCCCTCCCCTGGGGGCTTTCCTTTAGACTCTGTCTTTCAGGAAAGAGCCAAACAAAGCCCCCCCCCCACCTCTGCTCAGGGCCCCCAGGCTGAACTGGGTGCATGGTTAATCCCCCAGGGGATTGGCATTTTATGTAGAGGAATGAGAGAAAGCTGGTGCTCCTCCTCTTGCCCCACCCCCCACCTTTAGAAAGTGCCTGGGACCTTTCCATGAAATGGAGATTGTGCCTGCCCTCTACACCCAATTCTGTAGGGTGACGGGTGTCATCTCTGCTCCCCACTCAGACTGCCCTCGTGCCGAGTTGCTGCTCTGGTTGGAGGGATAGGGGGACTTGAGCATCTGTAAAAATGGCATGGCAGGGGCTGTGTCTGAACTCCTCAATTTCAGAAGGGGGAAGAGAATCAAGATCAACAGCCCAAGGCTGATTCCTATGAGTTGGAGGTCAGACATGGCTCCTCCTTCTCCCCTTTTTACCAATTCTGACACAAACCGTGCCTCCTATGGCACTCGCTACTTCTCTGCTGGGTTTGATAATTCATTGCAATGGCCACACAGAACTCACAGACAATAGTCACGATTATGGGGTTTATTAGGGAAGTAACAGGTTACAATTCAGGTTCAGGAACGCTCAGGATACAGTTCTTCCATCAGGACAGCCTCTTCTCAGCTGTGCCTGCAGGCATCCCTCTCTCTGACCCCTCGGCCTCTGGCCCCTCCGTCCTGGCCTCTGCCCTGCTTGGGCAAGTGTTACAAAGCTCTTTTAGCTCAACCAATAAGTGCCCAGAGGCACCCCACTCCACCAATAAACCGCCAGTAGGTCTCATGCCCAAAGACGCTCAGCTTTCTCACTCTGTGGGTGGGGAAGCCCCACCGCAGCCATCTCATGCCACCATCTCTCACTGTCTTCCGTGTTACAGCTCCTTTCTCTGTCGCCTGGATCTAGGAGGTTCTCAGCACAGGGATCCCAGGTCCAAAGGACATGCCCCACTCCTAGCTCTTCTTTCTTGGTGGTGTTGAGATCCTCCCTTCTCGCCTCTGGGATGGCTCATTTTAAGCCTAGCAGGATGGCAAAACTGACCAATCCCCTCGTTAGGGTTCCATACACCTTATTTGCATGGTCCCACCCCCACAAGGGTGCCATGCACCTTATGTACATTATTCACAAGCTATCTAATCCCTTTGGTGGGCCACAAGCACGTCATTTGCATAGTCCCGTCCAGTCATTTGGTGGAGTTATAAAAACTATGGCTAGAAGGGCCATATTAAGTAATTCACTGCACTGCAGCATCAGAAAAGCCAAGCTTTTAGGGGCTCCAGGAAGGTGAGGGCCCCTTCTTGTCCCCCCTCCCCACCCCAGCATGAACGCCCAGCCCCGGCACACTCCAGACCTCAATGGGCAGCGGCCGTGGAAGACAGACAATGCCTGGACAGAACCCAGTTTCTAATCAGAGAGCTGAGGGTAGCACTGGACTGGGGCTGGGAAGCAGTGCAGATGGTACCAGTGAGGGGCTTTAAGGGGAGTTCTCCATGCTTTTGGATTCTCTTCTAACCCCACCCTCAGCCCCACCACCTCAAGGGATCACTTGCCCCACTGAAAGGGCTGGGTGGGCGGGCTGGAGTATGGGGTGGGGGGAATTTCTGGCTAGGATCAAGAAATCGGGATTGCTGAGGGCCCAGCCTGTCCCAGGGCTCACTACCTCCTGCCAGGTTCAGCTGTCTTTCTGACTTTCTGGAAGTCCCTTGTTTGTATCTAACTGAAGTGCTTTCTGAGTTCCCACGAGAATGGCTTGGGGTGAGCTCTTGGGAGAGTGAGTCAGGAATGAGGTGGACTTGGTCTGGCATGTGTGTGGGGGTGGGGCAGTGGGGTCTGTGGACTGTTAGGGAGGTGAGAAGTGCCAGGTCCAGGGCTCTTGGCTCCCTAATCTCTTTGGGTGAGGATCAAAGCTGGCTGTCTGCAGCGGGCCATGGGGAAGGCCAGGTCTAGGGGAGAGCCAGGGGAGGAAGCTTTCAGGACCTGGGGCTGCAGGATAAATGGAGAAAGTCCAGGTTGTAAGCAGATGCCTAAGCCTCATGCAAAGGCCCTCCCAGCTAGGCAGGGTCTGACCCATGTGCCCCTGACTCTGGTTAACCTGGCACCAGAAGCGGCCCCAGCCAGCCCCTCTGGCCTGCCCTGGGATCCCTTTTTCCACTAATCCCCTTGTGTGATAAGGACTTCCAGTTCCCTGGGCCAGACTGGCCTGGAGTCGGCTTTTACCTGCCCCCTCCCCCCTCCCCCCTACAAGGCTGGAGAGAGGTGAGGCTGCACTATAACCTGCCCCAGGTTGTGGAAATACGGGCCTGACAAACGGAGAGGGAGAAGGGGGTGGCTGTTAAGAAATGCGAGCTGGCGAAGTTGAAACTGGGGAAGGAAGCCAAGTCACATGGTGAGTTTATTTAAGACCCTTTCAAGCCCCCAGCTCTGAGCTCACCCTGAGGGGAGCCCTCAGTGTTGCCTAGCGCCCCCCTCCCACCCCCTTTATCTCTGCCCAGTTTCCCTATGCTTCCTTCCTTTAGCCAGCTGGGGAGGGGGAGGTGCCCCTGAGTCTCACCTCTATCCGTTGACACTGCAGGGTTGAGCAGGGGGTAGGGCGGGGGTGGGGGAGCACCAGGCAGCGACCCAAGGGGCAATGTTAGATTGTACCTCTTCCCCCTGCCCTCTCCTGTTTGGGTTCTCTAGCTGCAGTTATCACCCTGGTTCCAGGCTGCTCTGAAATCTCAGTCAGTGACTGAATTTTGAATCCAGAGCACTGGTGGGTTGGGACAGAGAGTCTGAAGAAGAAGAAACTGTGAGGATGAGGATATGGGAGCGTCTTCAGAGTCCCACCTTCTGTTCTGAAAATGCCCTAGGCCAGCCAGGGCCAACCAACACCAGCTGTGTCCCATGTTGTCGAGTGTACAGTTCTGGGAAACTGAGGCCCAGGCAGGACCTCATGGAAGCTGTGTAGAGACCTGACAGTCTTGGTGGTATCCTCCTGCTGCAGAAATAGGACTTACGTCATCACAAGGAAGTAGAGCGGAGTAACCACAGGCCCCGGAAACCATCCCCCCTCCACCACTAGCCAGCCAGCCTGATTGGCTCTCAGCTTTTGAAAACTGTAGTGTGGAAGTAGGGTGAGGCGGGCAGAGGAAGTGGCAGAGGTGAGGTGTGCCTAGCACCCTTACTGTTACAGCTCTGGGTGCAAAAGGCAGGGCTGGGGTTGATACAGTTCATCCACTGGCGGGGTCGTGGGCCCCTGCCCTGTTCGTCCTCAGTTTTACCCACAGTAAATGGGAACAGCTGGTTTGTTCTGAGGTCCCAGGCTGCAAATGAGACTTGAGCTTCCTTTGTGAAGAGCAGTGGTTTGGATGAAGTAGAAGGCGTATAAT